GGTCAGTGACGGTCAGTGATGGTCAGTGATGGTCAGGGATGGTCAGTGACGGTCAGGGATGGTCAGGGATGGTCAGTGATGGTCAGTGATGGTCAGGGATGGTCAGGGACGGTCAGGGATGGTCAGTGATGGTCAGGGATGGTCAGGATGGTCAGGGATGGTCAGTGATGGTCAGGGATGGTCAGTGATGGTCAGTGATGGTCAGGGATGGTCAGTGACGGTCAGTGATGGTCAGTGATGGTCAGGGATGGTCAGTGACGGTCAGTGATGGTCAGTGATGGTCAGGGATGCTCAGTGACGGTCAGGGATGGTCAGTGATGCTCAGTGACGGTCAGGGATGGTCAGGGATGGTCAGGGTGGGTCAGTGGTCACTCAGTGATGGTCAGTGGTCACTCAGTGGTCAGTTGGTCACTCACCCCAGCAGGCCCTGGTCCCAGCCCTTGATGACCTGTCCTGTCCCCAGTGAGAACACGAACGGTCAGTGATGGTCAGGGTGGGTCAGTGGTCACTCAGTGATGGTCAGTGGTCACTCAGTGGTCAGTTGGTCACTCACCCCAGCAGGCCCTGGTCCCAGCCCTTGATGACCTGTCCTGTCCCCAGTGAGAACACGAACGGTCAGTGATGGTCAGGGTGGGTCAGTGGTCACTCAGTGATGGTCAGTGGTCACTCAGTGGTCAGTTGGTCACTCACCCCAGCAGGCCCTGGTCCCAGCCCTTGATGACCTGTCCTGTCCCCAGTGAGAACACGAACGGTCAGTGATGGTCAGGGTGGGTCAGTGGTCACTCAGTGGGTCACTCAGTGGTCACTCAGTGGTCAGTTGGTCACTCACCCCAGCAGGCCCTGGTCCCAGCCCTTGATGACCTGTCCTGTCCCCAGTGAGAACACGAACGGTCAGTGATGGTCAGGGTGGGTCAGTGGTCACTCAGTGGTCACTCAGTGGTCACTCAGTGGTCAGTTGGTCACTCACCCCAGCAGGCCCTGGTCCCAGCCCTTGATGACCTGTCCTGTCCCCAGTGAGAACACGAACGGCTGCTCCCGGCTCAGGCTGCTGTCAAAGGGGGTCCCGTCCTCCAGCGTGCCCTGCGCCAGCGCCGACCGGTGAAAACCGGTACGGACCAGTACGGACCAGTACAGACCAGTATAGACCAGTACGGACCAGTACGGACCAGTACGGACCAGTACGGACCAGTATGGATGGGTACGGACCAGTATGGACCAGTACGGACCAGTACAGACCAGTATAGACCAGTACGGACCAGTACGGACCAGTACGGACCAGTATGGATGGGTACGGACCAGTATGGACCAGTACGGACCAGTACAGACCAGTATAGACCAGTATAAACCAGTATGGACCAGTATGGATGGGTACGGACCAGTATGGACCAGTACGGACCAGTACAGACCAGTATAGACCAGTATAAACCAGTATGGACCAGTACGGACCAGTACGGACCAAGTACGGACCAGTATAGACCAGTACGGACCAGTATGGACCAGTATGGACCAGTATGGATGGGTACGGACCAGTACGGACCAGTACAGACCAGTATAGACCAGTATGAACCAGTATGGACCGGTACGGACCAGTACGGACCAGTATGGACCAGTATGGACCAGTATGGATGGGTACGGACCAGTATGGACCAGAACGGACCAGTACGGACCAGTATGGACCAGTATGGACCAGTATGGATGGGTACGGACCAGTACGGACCAGTACAGACCAGTATAGACCAGTATAAACCAGTATGGACCAGTACGGACCAGTACGGACCAGTATGGATGGGTACGGACCAGTATGGACCAGTATGGACCAGTATGGATGGGTACGGACCAGTACGGACCAGTACAGACCAGTATAGACCAGTATAAACCAGTATGGACCAGTACGGACCAGTACGGACCAGTATGGATGGGTACGGACCAGTATGGACCAGTATGGACCAGTATGGATGGGTACGGACCAGTACGGACCAGTACAGACCAGTATAGACCAGTATAAACCAGTATGGACCAGTACGGACCAGTACGGACCAGTATGGATGGGTACGGACCAGTATGGACCAGTATGGATGGGTACGGACCAGTATGGACCAGAACGGACCAGTACGGACCAGTATGGACCAGTATGGACCAGTATGGATGGGTACGGACCAGTATGGACCAGAACGGACCAGTACGGACCAGTATAGACCAGTATAAACCTGTACGGACCAGTATGGACTGGTATGGACCAGTATAAACCAGTATGAATGGGTACAGACCAGTATGGACCAGTATGGACCAGAATGGACCAGTGTGGACTGGTACAAACCAGTATAAACCAGTACAGACTGGTATAAACCAGTATGGATCAGTAAAAACCAGTACGGAGCAGTGTGTGCCCCAGTCCCTCCCAGTTTGCCCAATTTATCCCAGTGTATCCCAGTTTACCCAGTCCGTACCGTGTAATGCAGGGTCAGCACGTCCCCTCTCCGCGACCTCTCCCCGCAGCGCTCCGGGCGCCTCCCAGTCTGTCCCGGTTTATCCCAGGGTGTCCCAGGGTGTCCCAGCACTCCCAGTTCCCCCAGTTTATCCCAGTTTACCCCAGTCCGTCCCAGTACCGTGTAATGCAGGGTCAGCACGTCCCCTCTCCGCGACCTCTCCCCGCAGCGCTCCGGGCGCCTCCCCAGTCTGTCCCGGTTTATCCCAGGGTGTCCCAGGGTGTCCCAGCACTCCCAGTTCCCCCAGTTTATCCCAGTTTACCCCAGTCCGTCCCAGTACCGTGTAATGCAGGGTCAGCACGTCCCCTCTCCGCGACCTCTCCCCGCAGCGCTCCGGGCGCCGCCGCACCCCGATCTGCACCTTGCGGGGCTCGGCCGCCAGGGGGCGCTCGGGGGGCAGCGCCAGCCACAGCGCCAGCAGCAGCCACTGGAAATTAACGTAATTAATCGTAATTAATGGGCACTAATGTCACCTTATTGACAACTTAATGTCACCCTAACATCACCCCGAGTGTGACTGACAGCGACAGCCAAAGCGCCAGCAGCAGCCACTGGAAATTAACGTAATTAATTGTAATTAATGGGCATTAACATCACTTATTGACACCTTAACATCACCCTGACTGTCACTGAGTGTCCCTGAGAATCACTGACAGCCACAGCGCCAGCAGCAGCCGCTGCAATTAACGGCATTAATTGCAATTAATGGGCATTAATGTCACCTCATTGACACCTTAACATAGCCCTGAGTGTCACTGAGAGCGCCGGCAGCAGCCACTGCCATAAATGACATTAATGTCACCAAAATGTCACCAAAACGCCACTTATTGTCACCTTAATGCCACCTGTTGTCATTTATTATCACTCAATGTCCCCTATCGTCATTTATTGTCACTTATTGTTACTCAGTGTCTCCCATCGTCATTTATCATCATCGATTGTCAGCCAATGTCCCCTATTGTCATTTATTGACGTTTATTTTCGTTCATTCTCATTTATTGTCCCCTATTGTCATTTATTGTCGTTTATTTTCGTTTATTCTCCTTTATTGTCCCCGTTGTCCCCTCCAGCAGAGGCCGCTGTGGTGGCGCCGTGCGCGGGCGCGCCCGTGATGTCACCGGCACCGCGTCGATGACGTCACGGAGCCCCACACCGGCGGCCCCGCCCATTCCCCGCCCCCGGGAACCCCCCGCGCCCCTCCCCCGCCTTCCCGGGCCTCCCGCACCCCCCCGGGACCCCCGGAACGCCCCCCGGGACCATCCCGAGCCCCCCCCGCCCCCAAATCCGGTCCCGGGACCCCCAAATCCGCCCCTCCCCCCCCGCACCTCCGCCGCCATCGCGGTTCCCGTCGGGATCACGTGACCGCCGCCGCGCCTCCGATTCCGGTCACGTGAGACGCTGTTTCCTGACAAACTATTGGCTCCCGCCGGTCACGTGGCGCCGCGGCCGGAAGCGGAAGCGGCGGGGATGGCGGCGCGGCGCGCGGTTGCCATGGTAACGGCCGGGCCCCGGTGGGGGTTAATTGACCCCCCCAATCAGCGCTAATTAGCGTCCCCCTCCCCTCCAGCAGCGCCTCATTTGCATGGGGAGCCCCCGGCGCGGCCGCCGCTCGGCTGCGGGGCTCGGGACGGCGTTAATTGGGCGTTAATTAGTGCTGGGGGGGCAATTAGCGGTGTTAGGGGGTAATTAGTGTTAATTAGCGGGGCGCGATGGGGCCGAGGCTGCTGGACATCGATCGGCACTGAATAAGTTGTCAATATTTTGCTAATTCACAAGCAGAACTAATCAAGGGCCTTATTGACAATAATTATGAGCTAATTAGCATTAATTATGACCTAATTAGCATTAATTAACTGGCGGTTTCTTGTTATTTCATCACCGATAAATCGCTGTTTAATTCATAGAAATTAATGGCCTTATAATAAATATGAGAATATTAGAAGTAATTAATAGCCTGAGTAACTCAATTAACGCCGTAATTAGCCATAATTAGGAACCAAATGCGTGCGAATTGCTGATTTAATGGTAATTAATGTCCTGATTAACGGTAATTAACGCCGGTCACTCCCACAATCCTGAATTGTCGGGTCTCAGAATTAATTAATGGTTAATTAGTGGTTAATTAAAGGTTAGTCGCTAATTAAAGGCGTTAATTGCAGGGGCCCTGGGCCGCGCCCCTCCCCGCACGCGGGGCCCGGGCCTGGAGGGGGCTCAGCACCAGGTGAGACCCAAAATGTCCAAAATTATCCCAAAATGGCCCAAAACTGACCAAAAGTGTCCCAGAATATCCAAGAACTGCGACAAAAATGTCCCAGAATTGCCCCAAAATGTCCCAACATATCCCAAAAAACCTGCCCCAAAACATCCCCAGATTCACCTGGGAACTCTGAATCCACTCCAAAATACCCAAAAACTGCCCCACGATTCCCGAAACTGCCCCCAAATTCCCCAAAATGGCCCAAACTGCCCCAAAACACCCCAAAACTGCCCTGAAATTCACCTGAGAACTCCAAAAACTGCCCCAAACTGACCCAAAATATCCCCAAACTGCCCCAAATTATGCAAAAGTTCACCTGGGGCCCGCAAAAACTCCCCAGGACCCCCAATTCTGCCCCCAAAATACCCCAAATCTGCCCCCAAAATCCCCAAACCGCCTCAAAATATCGAAGAACTGATTCAAAATATCCCAAAATTCACCTGGAACCCCCCAAAAACTGCCCTTAACCTGCCCCAAAATGTCCCTAACTGCCCCAAAATATCCCGAAATGGCCCCAAACTGCCCCAAAATTCACCTGGGAAGCAAAAAAAACCACCCCCAAAAATGCCCCAAAGTGTCCCAAAAAGCCCCAAATTCCCCCCGAATCGCAGGCGGGGCCCCCCCGACCCGCACTCGGTGCTCGGGGTCCGTCCCGGGGCCTCCCCCAGGGAGATCCGCGCCGCCTCCTGGCCCGCTGCAAGGAGGTACCGGGATGGACGGGGACGGACCGGGATAAACCGGGGGGAAAAAACCCGGCGGGTTTGGGGTGAAAAATGGCGATTTTGGGACAAAAACGGCACCGGGAGGGACGGAAATGGGAGGTTTGGGGATAAAAATGGGACTGGACAAACTGGGAAAAACTGGGATGGACTGGGGCAAACTGGGAGGGACTGGGGGGGGGGGAAATGGCAATTTTGGGGTGAAAAAGGGTGATTTTGGGGACAAAAATGGCACTGGGAGGGACACAAATGGGAGGTTAAAAATGGGACTGGGACAAACTGTGAGGCACTGGGATGGACTGGGCAAACTGGGCAAACGGGGGGACTGGGAGGGACTGGGAGGGGGAAAATGGCGGGTTTGGGGTGAAAATGGTGATTTTGGGGGAAAACCGGCAGCGGGAGGGACAGAAATGGGAGGTTTGGGGATAAAAATGGGACTGGGACAAACTGGGTAAACTGGAGGGGATTGAGGTGAACTGGGGGAGACTGGGGGGGGGGGGGTGGAACCAGGAGGTTTTGGGGTGAAAAACGGCGATTTTGGGGATAAAACTGAGGGGTTTGGGAACGAACTTGGGCCTGGGAGGGACTGGGAGCGCTGGGGACCCCCCTCGGACCCTACCAAGTGTTTCGGAGGGGGGTGTCCCGTATTTTGGGGACCCTTCCCCACGCTTTTCCCACCCCCCCCTCGCACCCTAAACTTTCCGAGGAGTGTCCCCAGGTGTCCGGGGGTGTCCCCAGGGGTCCGGAGGGGGTCCTGTGTTTTAGGGACCCCCCCTGTGGTCGCTGTCACCCCCCCGGCCATTTTCGCCCGTAAGGGGACCCCACTCGGACCCTACCAAGTGTCTCAGGGGGGTGTCCCGTATTTTGGGGACCCCTCCCCACTCTTTTTCCCCCTCCGAAAGACCCCAAATTTTCCAGGGGGTGTCCCCACCTGTCCGAGAGGGCTGTCCCGATTTTGGGGCCCCCTCCCTGCCCGTGTCCCCCCCCAGGTTCACCCCGACGGGGACCCCTCGGACCCCTCCCGCCATGGGCGCTTCCTGCGCCTGGCCGAGGCCTACGCGGCCCTGAGCGCCCCCCGGGCCCCGCCCCGGGACGGCCCCGGGACCCCCGCCCGGGACAGCGCCGAGACCCCGCCCCGGCCCGGGACCCCCCCCAGGTAACGGGCACGGGGAAGGGGGGAGGTCCTGGCGTGGTTTTGGGGGGCTTGGGAAGGGTCCTGGGGGCGTTTGGGGAGGGTCCTTGGGGGGTTTTGGGAGGGTCTCAGGGGTCCCCTGAGGGTTCTGAGGGGGTCCCTGAGGGGTCCCATAGCGTTTGGGGAGTCCTGGGGTGGTTTTGAGTGGTCTCGGGGGTCCCTAAGGGTTTTGGGGAGGGTCCCTGAGGGGTCCCATAGGGACTGGAGGGTCCCAGGGTGGTTTGGGGGGTTCTTGGCGGTCCCTGAGGGTCAGGGGTGGGTTCTGGGCGATTTGGGAGGGATCCCATAGGGTTTGGGGGGGATCTCATAGGGTTTTGGGGGTCCTGGGGTGGTTTTGGAGGATCTCAGGGGTCCCTGAGGGGATTCTGGGGGTGTTTGAGGGTTGGGCAGGGGTCCCTGAGGGTTTTAGGGGGGTCCCAAGGAGATCCTATGGGTGTGGGGGGGCGGTCTTGGGGGTCCTTATGGGGGTCTCTGGGGCCCCAAGGATTTGGGGGGGGGTTTTCCTGGGGGTCCCTGGGGGTTTTGGGGTGATCCCCGGGGGTCCCACGGGCGCCCGTTCCCAGCTGGGACCGGGAGCGGCGGCGCTGGGAGCAGAGCCGGCGGCACTGGGACGAGAACCGGCGCTACTGGGAGCAGTTCCGAGCCCCCCGGGGCGCCCCCCGAGCCCCCCACGGGCGCCTGCTGGGGCTGCTGCTGCTGCTGATGGCACTGGGCGGGCTGGCACACGGGCTGGCATACAGGTGGGGGCACAAAATGGGGCTGGGGGCTCCAACAATGGGGCTGGGGGTGCTGGCACATGGGCTGGCATACAGGTGGGGGCACAAAATGGGGCTGAGGGCTTCAAATGGGGCTGGGGGGGCTGGCACACGGGCTGGCCTACAGGTGGGGGTCTGAAAATGGGGCTGGGGGCTTCAAATGGGGCTGGGGGCTCCAACAATGGGGCTGGGGGCTCCCAAAAACGGGGCTGCTGCTGCTGCTGATGGCGCTGGGGAGGCTGGCACACGGCCTGGCCTACAGGTGGGGGTATGAAAATGGGGCTGGGGGCTTCAAATGGGGCTGGGGGCTTCAAAATGGAGTGCATTTGGGGTGCATTTTGGGATGATTCCCCCCGGATTTGGGGGCTCGTTTTGGGGTGAATCCCCCAGATGTTTTGCCCCCTCCCCAGGTACGTGGCCGGGGCTCACGCCGCCTTCCTGGACGAGCAGGACCGGAAGCTGCGCGCGGCCTACGAGAGAGCGCGGAGCCGGTGGGCGCCGGGGCGGGGGCACCGGGGCGGTCTGGGGGGTCCCGGGGGGGTTTGGGGGGTCCTGGGGGCGTTGGGGGGGTCGTGGGGGGGTTAAAGGGGATTTTGGGGGACTTTTGGGGATTTGGGGGTTTAGGGGACATTTTGGGGGTCTTTAAGGAGGGGGAGGGGTCTGGGGGGGGAAGGGGGGGGGTGTCTCTGTCCCCTCCCCCCGATGACCTTTGACCCCTGTCCCTCAGGGCGGGGGTCGCACGAGGAGCTCCTGAAGCGGCTGCGGGAGCGGAGGCGGGGCCGGCCGGGGGGAGGGGGCGGGGAAGGCAGCGAGGGGGGGGGAGGGGAGGGGTCCTGACCCGCCCCCCCTCCCCCTCCCCCTCCCCGTCCTGCCCTCGGACCCCTCCCCCAACCCCCCAACCTCCTGCCCCTCCCCCCGCTGCCCCTCCCCCTCCGCGCTCCGCCGGGAGCCCCCAGGTGAGGCCGGGGTGGGGGAGGGGCGGGGATACCCCTGGTGGGGGAGGGGCGGGGATACCCCCGGTTGTCCCCAGGCCACGCCCACCCCGCCATCAGGCCACGCCCCCTCGTCCCGTATGACTTTTCGCGCCCTTTTCTTGGCCACTCCCCTGTCCCCTCACGATCTTCCCCGCCCCCTCTCCGGCCACACCCCCTCCGGATTTCTATTGGCTCGCTCCGGCCACGCCCCTCCTCCCCGCGGCTCTGATTGGCTCCGCCGTTCCCGTCGTGCCGCGTGACCGCCGGTCCCTCACGGAGCCGCCGCCATGTCGCGGGCGGCGCGCTCGGTCCGGGCCGCGGCCGGGGCCAGGTCGGGCCAGGCGGCGGCGCCGAGGCCCGTCCGGATCCTCATCCCGGCCGGCGGGGCCGCGCCCGGGCCGCCCCTGGGGCCGGTGCTGGGGCAGGTGCGGGGAGGTCTGGGGGGAACCGGGGGGGGTTTGGGGTGTCCCGGTGCTTCCGGAACCGACCCCGACCCTCCCCGGCGCTTCCGCAGCGCGGGGTCTCCATCGCCGCCTTCTGCAAAGACTTCAACGAGCGCACCCGGGACATCAAACCCGGGGTCCCTCTGAGGGTCCGACTGCTCGTGAATGTGAGTGGGGGGGGCGGTACCGGGATCCCCCCCCGGGGCACCGGGACCCCCCCGTGACTCCCCCGTGCCCCCCCAGCCCGACCGGACCTACTCGCTGACCATCGGGACCCCCCCCACCTCCTACTTCCTCAAGGCCGTGGCCGGAGTGGAGAAAGGCTCGTCCAGACCTGGTCAGGGAGGGGTTCGGGGGTCCTGGGGGGGAATTTGGGGATCCCGGGGGGGAATTGGGGATCCTGGGGAGGGATCTTGGGGTCCTCAGGGGGTTCTGAGGTGCTGGGGGGCGCTTGAAGGGTCCTGGGGGGATTCTGGAGGGGGTTTGAGGTCCCTGAGTGAGTTATGGGGGTTCTGAGGGGGATTTTTGGGAGGAATTTGAGGAAATTTTGGGGGGGATTTCAGGTCCCTGAGGGAGTTTTGGAGGTCCCAGGGGGGGATTTGGGGGGTCCCGGGGGGAACATTGGGGGTCTCAGACCCACTGACCACTGCCCCCAGGCCCCGAGCCGGCCGGGGTCGTGTCCCTGGCGCAGCTGGGTTATTTTGGGGGTATTTTGGGGTGATTTGTGGGGTATTTTGGGGTGATTTGGGGGTGTTTTGGGGTCCCACAGGCCACGAGCCGGCCGGGGTGGTGTCCCTGGCGCAGCTGGGTTATTTTGGGGTGATTTGGGGATATTTTAGGGGGTACTTTGGGGTCCCACGGGCCACGAGCCGGCCGGGGTGGTGTCCCTGGCGCAGCTGGGTTATTTTGGGGTGATTTGGGGGTATTTTGGGGTGATTTGGGGGTATTTTGGGGTGATTTTAGGGGGTATTTTGGGGTCCCACAGGCCACGAGCCGGCCGGCGTGGTGTCCCTGGCGCAGCTGTTCGAGGTGGCCGTGGCCAAGCAGAGGGACCCCGCGGTGGCCACGCGGGGGACGGCGCTGCCCGCCCTGGTGGGGTCCCTGGTGGGCTCTGCCCGCAGCCTCGGCCTGCTCGTGGTGCCCAGGTGGGACAGAGCCCCGCGCCGGGACGGGAACTGACCCTGAGAGCCCCGAAACTGAGCCTGAGAACCCCAAAACTGAGCCGAAAAACTGACCCAGGAACTGATCCTGAGAACCCCAAACCGGCCCAGAAACTGACCCTGACACCCCCAAAACAGCCCCCCCAAAACTGACTCTGGGCCCATAAACAGCCCCTGCTCCCCTCCGAGAAACTGCTGCTGATGCGCCCCAAAACTGCCCCAAAAACACTCCCCAACCAACCCCAAAACCATCCCCAAATCAACCCTTGACCCCCCAAAACCAGCCCAAAAACTGCCCCACACTCACCCAAAAACACTCCCCAAACCATCCCCAAAAACTGCCTGTAAGCCCCCCAAAACTGCCCCAGACTGCCCCAAAAACACTCCCCAAACAGCCCCAAAACCATCCCCAAAAACTGCATCTAAGCCCCCCAAAACTGCCCCAGACTTTCCCAAAATCATCCCCCAAATCAGCCCTTGATCCCCCCAAAACCAGCCCCAAAGAGCAGCTCCTGAGCCCCAAAACTCTGCCCCAAACCCCCCAAAAACAGCTCCAAGTCACCCCAAATGACCCCAGACCCCCCAATTTCCCCCCCAGGCTGACCCCCCAGGCCGTGGCCGAGGCCCAGCGGCGCCGCCGGGAGCTCCAGGAGGCCGCGGCGCCCCCTGGCGGGCAGGACGAGGAAGGGGCCCGCAGGCAGTGACCCCTCCCCAAATACACCCCGAACATCGGGGGGGGCCCCAAAACATCGGGGACCCCCCCCAAATAAAGAGCTCTTCCCACAGACCCACGTGGGGTTTGTAATTTGAGGAGGGGTCCTGAAATGTCTGGAGTCTCTTTTGGGAGTTGGGGTCTCTTTGGGGGGGATTTGGTGTCTTTTTGGGGGGGTTGGGGCTCATTTCTTCGGGGGATTCCCTCATTTTTGGGGAGGGGCGAGTGGGAGTCCTTTGGGCCTTCATCCTCATCTTCATCTTCCTCCCAGTTCCTGCCTCATCTCCCTCCTTCATCCCCCTTTATCCTCCTTCCTCTTCCTCATCCTCAGCACCTTTCCAGCTCCTTCCTCATCCTCATCATCCTCCCCATCCCCTTCTTCACCGTCCTCATCCTCCCTCATCTTCATCCTTCTCCTCATCCTCCCCCCCCCCCTTTTTATGGTTCCTTCCCCGTTCTCATCTTCATCCCAGTTCCTGCCTCATCTTTCTCCTCATCCTCCTCCTTCATCTCCCTCATCTTCCTCCCCCTCATCATCCTCATCTTCATCCCCTTTTCCACCATCCTCATCCTCCTTCATCCTCATCCTCTCTCCTTCCTCATCCTCTCCCCTTTCCAGCTCCTTCCTCATCCTCATCCCCCCCTCCCTCCTCATCCTCTCCCCCCAAACGCCGCTGTTGCCATGGAAACGCCGCCGGGGCGGGGGCGGAGGGGGAACCCCGGGAATTGGGGGAGACCCCCGGGAATTTTTGGGGGGGGTCCCGAAAATCTGTGAGGGGTCCCGAAAATTTGGGGGGGGTCCCGAAAATTTGAGGGGGTTCCAGGATTTTTTGGGGGTGTCCCGATGCCTCGGGGGGGTTCGGGGGCGCCCCAATCTCTGTGGGGGGGTCCCGGGGGTCTCCCCCTCCCCCACATTCCCCCCCCCGGGGTCTCCCCCTCCCCCAAATCCCCCCCCGCATCGCTCCCGGGGGGGTCCCGGCGCGGCCCCGCCCCCCGCGCTATTTTGGGCTCCCCGCGCTATTTTTGGCTCCGCGGCTTCGGCGCCCAAATTTGGCAGCGGCGGAGCCGGGGGGGAGGGGCGGGGGGCGGGGCCGGAGCCGGGGGCGCCCGCGCGGGGGGAGGGGGAGGGGATCCCAGCGGCCCGGGGGGAGGGGAGGGAGCGCAGGCCCCGCCCCCCGGCCCGAACGGGGGCCCTGGGCCGGGGCGGGCTCCGGGTGGGCGGGGTGGGCTCCGTGTGGCCACTCTGAGCCCGCCTGTGGTCAGTGTGGGCTCCCTGTGGTCAGTGTGGGCTCCGTGTGGCCACTCTGAGCCCGCCTGTGGTCAGTGTGGGCTGCCGGTGGTCAGTGTGGGCTCCGTGTGGCCACTCTGAGCCCGCCTGTGGTCAGTGTGGGCTCCCTGTGGTCAGTGTGGGTTCCCGGTGGTCAGTGTGGGCTCCGTGTGGTCACTCTGAGCCCGCCTGTGGTCAGTGTGGGCTCCCGGTGGTCAGTGTGGGCTCCGTGTGGCCACTCTGAGCCCGCCTGTGGTCAGTGTGGGCTCCCGGTGGTCAGTGTGGGCTCCCGGTGGTCAGTGTGGGCTCCGTGTGGTCAGTGTGGGTTCCCGGTGGTCAGTGTGGGCTCCGTGTGGCCACTCTGAGCCCGCCTGTGGTCAGTGTGGGCTCCCGGTGGTCAGTGTGGGCTCCCGGTGGTCAGTGTGGGCTCCGTGTGGCCACTCTGAGCACGCCTGTGGTCAGTGTGGGTTCCCGGTGGTCAGTGTGGGCTCCGTGTGGCCACTCTGAGCCCGCCTGTGGTAAGTGTGGGCTCCCGGTGGTCAGTGTGGGCTCCGTGTGGCCACTCTGAGCACGCCTGTGGTCAGTGTGGGCTCCCGGTGGTCAGTGTGGGCTCCGTGTGGCCACTCTGAGCCCGCCTGTGGTCAGTCTGGGCTCCCGGTGGTCAGTGTGGGTTCCCGGTGGTCAGTGTGGGCTCCCTGTGGTCAGTGTGGGTTCCCGGTGGTCAGTCTGGGCTCCGTGTGGTCACTCTGAGCCCGCCTGTGGTCAGTGTGGGTTCCCGGTGGTCAGTGTGGGCTCCGTGTGGCCACTCTGAGCCCGCCTGTGGTCAGTGTGGGCTCCCGGTGGCCAGTCTGGGCTCCCTGTGGTCACTCTGGGCTCCCGGTGGTCAGTGTGGGCTCCCTTTGGTCAGTGTAAGCCCCCCATGGTCACTCCCACCCCCCTCCGGCCACGCTGACCCCCAGGCTCCCCCCTGACCATCGCTGGGCCCTCTCCCTCCCCCCACTGACCCCCAATGGTCCCCCCAGCCCCAAGTGCTGCTCCCTCTCCCCATTGATCCCCCATTGATTGCTCTGTCGCCCCATTGATCCGGCATTGGCTCCTCCCTCTCCCCATTGCCTGCTCATCTCCCCATTGACCCCCGTGGCCTCTTCCATCTCCCCACTGAGCCCCATTGACTGCTCCACCTCCCCCCGATCCCTGCTGGCTCCTCCATCTGCCCACAGCCCCATTGGCTGTTCCATCTCCCCATTGATCCCCATTGACTCCTCCATCTCCCCACTGAGCCCCATTGACTCCTCCTTGTCCCCATTGACCCCTCATTGCCTGTTCCCTCTCCCCACAGCCCCCCATTGCCTCCCCATCTCCCCATTGACCCTTCATTGATTGCTGCATCTCCCCATTGATCCCCCATTGGCTGTTCCCTCTCCCCATCTCCCCCATCGCCTCCCCCATCTCCCCATTGATCCCCCATTGGCTGTTCTATCTCCCCATCTCCCCCATCGCCTCCCCCATCTCCCCATTGATCCCCCATTGGCTGTTCTATCTCCCCATCTCCCCCATCGCCTCCCCCATCTCCCCATTGATCCCCCATGGATTGTTCCCTCTCCCCATCTCCCCCATCGCCTCCCCCATCTCCCCATTGATCCCCCATGGATTGTTCCCTCTCCCCATCTCCCCCCATCGCCTCCCCCATCTCCCCATTGATCCCCCATGGATTGTTCCCTCTCCCCATCTCCCCCCATCGCCTCCCCCATCTCCCCATTGATCCCCCATGGATTGTTCCCTCTCCCCATCTCCCCCCATCGCCTCCCCCATCTCCCCATTGATTTCCCCATCTCCCCCCTCCCTCCCCCCCCGCCGGGGCGTGTCCCCCTCCCCTCCCCCGCCCCGCGCTGGCCCCGCCCCCCGCGCCGTCTCCATCTCCAATTTGGGAGCGATCCCCGCGTCCCCCCCGGCCCCGCTCGCGCGTCCGCGTCACCGGTGACGCCGCGCTCGCGTCCCCCGGTGTCCCCCCCGCGCGGGGGGCGGCGCGGCGCCGGTGACGCGGCGCTGACGCGGGGCCCGGGCGCGCATAAAGCGGCGGCCCCGGGCGGCGGCGCGGGCGGAGGATGCTCCGCTCCACCAAGGGCGCCTCCAAGGCGCGCCGCGACCAGATCAACGCGCAGATCCGCGCCCTGCGCGACCTCCTCCCGCTGCCCGACGGCGACCGGCCGCGCCTCTCCTACCTGCACGTCATGGCCCTCGCCTGCATCTACACCCGCAAGGGCGCCTGCCTCCGGCCAGGTACCGGCACCGGGCACCGGGAGCGGGGACGGGAACGGGGATGGGAGCGGGGATGGAGCAGCGATGGGACCGGGACCGGGATGGGACCGGGACCGGGGATGGAGCGGGGATGGGCACAGGGAACGGGGATGGAGCGGGGACGGAGCGCGGACCGGGAGAGGGACCGGGGATGGGAGCGGGACCCGGGATGGGGATGGGACCGGGGATGGGGAGAGGGAGCGGGGATAGAGCGGGGACAGAGCCGGGATCGGGGACAGGACCGGAGCGGGGATGGGAGCGGGACCGGGGATGGAGCAACGAGAGAAGCAGGAGCGGCGGGGACAGGACCGGGAGAGGGAGCGGGAACGGGGATGGAACCGGGAGCGGGGACGGAGCAGGGATCGACCCGGGGACAGCACCGGGGATGAAGCAGGACCGGGGATGGACCGGGGTTGGAGCCGGGAACGGCAGCGGGAAGGGATCGGGGACCGGGGACCGGACTGGGAGCGGGACGGGGACAGGGATGGGATCGGGGACCGGGGACAGGGACCGGGGCCGTTCAGCACCGCGGGCAGGGGCCGGGGCCGGGGCAGCACCGCGGACAGCGGCCGGAGTTCCCGTTCAGCACCGCGGAGAGCGGCGGGGACCGGGAGGGGCAGCGGGAGCGGGGACCGGGGTCGGGGGACAGGGACCGGAGTCGGGGACCGGGGTCGGGGACCGGGATCGGTGAGGGGGATCAGGGATCGGGGACCGGGACAGAGGAACGGGGACAGGGACCAGGACCGGGACGGGCCCGGCGCCGGCCGCACGCGGGAGGGCTCCGGTGCCCCGTCGGTGCCGCCCCGCGGTGCCCCCGGTGCCGCCGGGCTCTGACCGCGCTGTCCCTCGGCAGGCCCGAGCCGGGGCGCGCCCCTGGAGCTGCTCGGGGGGCCCGAGCTCGCCGACCTGGTGGCGTCGCTGCCCGGGTTCCTGCTGGCCGTGACCCGCGAGGGGAAGCTGGTCGGGGTCACCGACAACGTGGCGCAGCACCTGGGGCACTCCATGGTGAGCACCGGGGGCTCGGGGGGCTCGGGGGGCCCGGGGGGCTCCGGGGGGCCCGGGGGCTCACCCCGGCCTCCCCCCATGCCTGCCCCCCCAGGTGGACCTGGTGGCACAAGGGGACAGCATCTACGACCTGCTGGACCCCGCCGATCACCCCCTGGTGCGGCACCAGCTCAGCCTGCCCGGGCCCCCCCAGGCAGGTGGGTGGGGGTCCCGGGGGTCGGGGGGGTCGGGGGGGGTTGGGGGTGTGGGGGGGGTTTGAGGGGGTCCTGGGGAGTCCTGGGAGGGCTGGGGGGTTCTAGGGGGGTCCTGGTGGGGTTTGGGGTCTGGGGGAGCGAGGGAGGGATGGGATGGGATGGGATGGGATGGGATGGGATGGGATGGGATGGGATGGGGAGATAGAGGGGTGGGCAGCAGGACAAAGG